ATAATTATTATTATTTGGCTTTATTTTATTTTTAGGTCTGTCTTTTCTGAACTACTTTTAAAAAAAGATAATAGTTTCAACTTTTAGTTTTTCTTTAACAGTAAGATTGTTAAACCTGAATCTCATTGCATGTGTTTTTACAACCCTTAAATAAAGATGCAGCAAAGTAGTAAGTTTAATATTCAGATATTAGAGTTCTTCAGAAACTTTCGAAACTCTAAAAGAACATAAAAGTTGTCCGCTGTAATAATAGTGTCTTTAAAGTTTGTAATGATTACTTGTGCTTTTTCAGGGGTCAGTAATACTCGATTCTGCTCTACTCTATAATTCTATGGTTCTTTTTTCAGTTCTTACCAAACTTGGCTCAAAAAATGGAAGTGAAAGTGTGACATATGCTGAGTTTGTTTGTTGCTTTGTTGCAGGAAGTTGAGAAACTGACATTTGTAATACTCAACATCTGCCATCATAGAGTAACATGTGCAGCAAATTAGGATTTTCTTTTTGAAATTTGACACTTGAGAAATCAGAGTTTTGGCACGATTGTCAGCTGACAATTTCATGTGCTAGCAGTATGTGGTATAGTATATTATTCTTACTTTTGTATCTATAGTACTGTGCAATTGTTTTAGCCAGGTGAGGAAAAATGCTGGAAACAAAGAATGCTTTCAAAAATGGAAGTGTTAATCCTTTATTTTCCTTCTGTCTCTTAATGTAATCCCAGACACATTTGATGATGTTGAGATCAGGGCTCTGTTGGGGCTATACCATCACTTCCAGTACTTCTTGCTCTTCTTCACGCTGAAGATAGTTCTTAATGACTTTGGTTGTATGTTTGGGGTCATTGTCTTGCTGCAGAATACATTTGGGGCCAATAAATAATCATTTATATTTCTGAAAGCATTTTTTGTTTACAGCAATTTTCACAATTTGCCTAAAACCTTTGCACAGTAGTGTATATAAAAAAGAAATAATAACAACAATAATATCAATAAGGTCACCAGAACTGCTTTCAACTACTGAAAAATTAAATAAATAAAAAAAATAAAACATAAGAACATTTTTATATCAAACTGACTCTGACAGATTGCTCTGTGCATTCATGTCAAGCAGGTGAATCATTAACACTCTGTTAACCAGATTATCCAAAGGATCATTGGATTGAGCCACTACCAGAGTCCTTAACCGCACATGGAAACTTGAACATCTATTGAAATAACTTAATTGGCTCTCAGTTCCACACTGAATTATCTTTAACTTCCTTCTATTTAACCCAGTGAGACCTCTCATGTCATCAGGCGCAGATCTTTTAACTACTTCTAACCACACAGCAAAGTGTGCTTTCAGAAACTGTGGTCCTGCTTCTTTGCAACGATTTGTCCGCTGACCTGAGGTCAATTATAAGTGTGTTTACATTCAAAAGCAGACTCAAAACCCTTTTTACTTTCATAGACTTACACTGTATGTGTTTGTGTGTGCGTGTTCGCTTGAATTTTATGTTTTTGTAACGTTTTCTTTTGTTGTTTTTATTGCCCTACGTACAGATCCGTGTAATTTTGATGTCTATCTTTTATAGGAAGAACATTGAGTTTACGTGTACTAAAATGTGCTCTACAAATACAATTCCTTGACAATTCATTGACATTGACCTCTTGTGTTTAAGTTTACAGTGTTCACATCAGTGCCAATCAACATTTTGTAGTCCAATTTAAGGTATTTTAAATATGGCTTCAACACATTTTAACCCTTGCGAAAGTCTTCTTCTAGGTTATTCTTGCCTTCTCTGTGCAACTTGGTTAGATGCGTTCGTTGTGTGTTGCTGTAGTGGTTTTTTGGCCACATGACAAGATAAAAATTCTGTGAATTAATCTGGCTCAGAGGTTAATATTTCACGATATTACACCAGCACCCATAGTTTTGAAGTCGGTGTGTACCATCAGTGGAGGTGTAACAAGGTGTATGCAGAAAACTCCGCAGCGGTTTGTGAAGCAGCACCCACTCCCCGAATTTAGCGGGCGGCGCTGTAATATTAAACAAGCTTCCACCGTGTCTTTGCGGGGTTGTCTGCCATCAGAGGAGATCAGTTGGCTAGCGGAACAACAGCAGCAGCAGCAGCGAAGGGTTCAGATTCAGAGCCCGAGACCGAGATTTATCACTGTATTCAGTCCTTATCTGAAACCGAAGGTAAAGTAGCCGTTCTTTCAGCGTGAAGAACCGGCTTATCTACGATAATGTGCACGGTAGGCTGAAGTCAGATATGTATCGTGGATGTGAACTCAGGAGTCTAAGAAAACCGTAGCGGTGTTAGCTGTTAGCTAGCTTGTTCGGCGGAAACGGATTTGTCGTGGATTAGCTAAAATGCTTAACGGTGTAGGGCATCGCTGCTCAAATCTTAAACGAGTTGTTTGTGTGTGTGTTTTTCTTTTTAACAAAATAGGTAGATTGGGATAGCAGTAATTGGCTCATTCGGCTGACTAACAAAAATACTTTTAGTACATTCAGTTAAGCGTGTACTCGTGTTTAGCTTAAAGCGTTCCCTGGCATCAGTAGTTTCCTTTAAGAATTAGCTACAGAAAAGGATTAGTTTGAACAACAGTGGGGGGTGTCTTAGCCTTTTGGTGCCCACCATCATTACATTCTTTTCTCACCATTGATTTGGAAGTTCCTATAGGGTTCCCGTAGGGATAGAGATGTTTGTGTAAGACATTATGTAACGAGAAGACATGTGCTCGTGTTGTTATTTTTGTTGCTACCCAGAAATGTGTGTGTGGTGGTTGTTGATGGGCAGATGAATTTGATAGGCGAGCAGATCAGTCAGTAGCTAACAGCTGCTGTGTCCTAGCCCGTGACCGTCCAGTTCATAATTACTATGTGCAGACAGGCTTTCTACGGTGGGCACAAAAGTCTGCCAGCCTCTGTCAAATTATTGTTTAAAATAGATCATTAGTTGTTCAGCTGTTTGTTTAAGTGAGGCAAAGTAAACAAATTTACACATGTTCCAATTTAAAGCTATTCCATGAGTTTGATCACCTGTTCAGTGTCCCGTGCCATACAATAATGCTAATTCCTTGTCTCCACAGGTAACTGGTCTTTTATGGAATGACCACCTCGCAGAGATATATTGAATCCAAACCAGCGGGTAAGTTGACACGCTGCTGTCACCATGCATAAGCCATGCATCGTTTCCACATGTGTTGATGTTCTGCTCTGCTGTCGTTGTCCCTTTTCACAAATGTGCATTAGCCCGGTTTGCTGACATGGAGTGGCAGACGCCAGCTGTGTCAGAGAAGTTCCAAAGCCGTTTTGGCCGCCGGCCCGGAACATCAGACAGCGGGGACACTGGTCTTGGCACATCAGCATCTGACAGTGCAGAAGGTGGTGACTTTTGCTTGTTCTTCCTCTGCCTGTAGTGCCTGTTGTGTAACATTGTTTTGAAGACTGTCTCACTGCAGTGACCTGAACACATCCATTAAACAGTGTTGGGTTTGTTTTTCTAATGGTTGTGCACCCTTAAACCTCTGTTCTTTAAAATTGCTCACTAGAAAGTTGAGCGCAGTCATGAAATATTTAAATTAGGTAATGCTTGGCACTTAACAATTTTGGGGAGATGAAGCTGGAACACACTGTGTTGTCCATGGTGTTGTTTCTAGGTCTATTTATAGGGTGATAAAATGTTCATGATTCACCGCTGATGCCTGGGACATTTACAGAGATACTCCCCAGCCAAAACTGACCCAAGGTGCAGCTTGTACTGCTCCAGAGTTGAGGTTAAGTGAGAGGAGATGTTTGAATGCCAAGGCTGTACCTTGCCTGTGGCGGGAATATCACTGCTTTCACATTGTTCTGTTTAAAATGGGAATCTCCCAATGGTTTGATAGCTTGTGTGTGCATGCACTAGTGGAAAAAATAATGGACTGAAAGGCTGTGTTTAATGGATGGCCAGCTGGGATGGGTGGTCCCTGTTTCCAAAGGAAACATTACAAAATAATAGGCTGCAGAGTAGCAGCACT